ATTATGAGAGGCACTCATAATAACAAAGGTTTGATAATGATGTAGATAAGGAAATTATTTAATTTGCCTCGGATAAGATAATTATACATTACCGGCGATTACAGAAGTCACGTGATGTGTGTAGGGCACCACGACGAGCACTATGACTTGCTATCGGGAGCAGATAAAAGCGGGTCACAGTACGAATATGCGTGTGGACTGTACGGTGTCGCAACACGAACTCTGAGCATTCTTATGACAGTGATGATATTCCACTGGCAAAAAATGCTTTAGTGTTTTTGGTAGTAGGTACAAATGGTTACTGGAAAGTGCCATTGACTTATTTCCTTATTGATGAATTAGGAGGTAAAGAAAGAGCTAACCTATTATAGGACGCAATTCATTTATTGCATGATACCGGTGTTAAACTCCAATCAATAACGTTTGATGGAGCAAATTTAAACACAAGGATGTGTACTGAATTAGGAGCTAATTTTGATCATAAGAACCCTCAAGCTTTTATTATTAGTAAATATAATGAAAAATTATTTATTTATTTTGATCCTGCTCACATGCTGAAATTAATAAGAAATGCATGAGAACACAGGTCGGTGATTAAAAACTCCAATGGAGAGATTATTGATTGGATGTACATTAAAAAACTGTATGAATTAGAAAAGGAACAGGGATTAAGAGCTGGGACTAGACTGACCAAGAGACATGTTAATTTTCACAATGAGAAAATGAATGTCCGATTAGCAGCTCAAACATTGAGTCAAAGTGTTGCTGATGCGCTTACTTATTTAAAAAATACAAATGAAAATTTCAAAAAAGCAGGGCCAACAATAGAATTTATATCTTTTATTAATAATTTATTTGATATACTAAACAGTAGATTAAGATTTTCGAAATCACCATTCAAACGTGCTATTTCTGATGAAACATTAGACGACTACAAAACATACATACAACATTTTATCAAATACGTTAAAGGCCTACAATTCATAGATGGAATCAAAATTGTGGAATCAGCGAGAAAAACTGGATTTGTAGGTTTCATTTTGGAACTCCAGAATGCAATAAAAATGTACCAAAGTTTACGTTCAAAAGGTGACATGACATTTTTTTTAACTTATAAAATTAGTCAAGATTTTATTGAAACAACATTTAGTGCTATTAGATCAAGGCTTGGATATAATGACAATCCAACTTGTATGCAATTTAAAACAGCTTATAAAAGAATTTTAGTCCATAATGAAGCAGTTGGGTCAATATTTGGCAATTATTCAATTTTGGACAACACAAAAAATCTAAGTGTTACTGAAAAGGCCAAGGACTCAGTATTAACTTTAGAAAGCACTTGGCTACCACAGCAAGATATAAACATTGACCATGACTATTTTGAAAATTATACAAAAATAAGTTCATTCATAGAAGATACATCTATTGGTGGATTTATTGTAAAAAAAATATTAAAAAATTTAAATTTAAAGCTGCCAAAATTATTTGATTCAACAGTCCGATAAAAATCCTAATTCTTTAATAAATATTAAGAACCAAGGAGGATTAGTGTATCTTAGCAAAGCTGTAGAAGTATTATGCCAAAAATCAGAAAATATATTTAAAAGTGAATCTCCATTATATTACAATAAGCCAAAGAACAAACAATTTTTAAGTAACAAAGTTAAAGCGAACATTTATAAAGGAGGAAAAGAAACAATTCCATATTACACTGGACAAGAATCATTTTTAAATAGGCATATGCAAAGAGATAATTTAATAAATTTAACAATTAATAAATATGTTGACATTCGTATTTTTCACGAAATTAGAAAAATAAATGATAACAATATTAAGGAAAAACGTACCCAAGCTAAGTTAATAAAGCTTATTCATTTTAGTCATGAGTAAATAATGTGTATTAAATATTGTCATTATACCGACTTATGGATCCAAATTGTGATTTATATATTTATTTAATATTCGACATAGGTAAAATCATTTTAATTATAAATTATAAGTAAATATAAGTATGATTTTGTTATACAATATTAATACTAAAAATTAACATTTAATGTAAAATATGATGAATAACGAAAAGAACTGAATATAAAAAACACCTATTATAGTTAATGATTATTTAAATTTACAACTTGACATTTTAAAAATTGATAAGACCCCTTGTAACCTCAAAATAAATATTTATTCCCGTATGATAAGTTGTAATGGCCTATCCATTCTTCTATTATTCATGATCGCATGTTGCGGACTCATTCAACGAATTCCATGAATTCGTGGTTCCGCGATAGATCAATTATAAAACATAGATATTATCTGTGATAAGACTATAAGATATAGGCCCGGTTTTTCAATCACATTTACTCGTCAGAACGTCGTCTGTACTCTATACATGAAATAATAAATCATATGCTGGCGTGAGATGACCATGACTTTAGGATGAAATTCAGACTTGGAAAAAATTTTGTTCGTAATTTATTAGTTAACACTTTATTTTCTAATGCGTGACAGTTTTGTAGAGCATTTTTCAATAAAAGTTCTTTTTCATAAAATGTGAAATTTGTTGATCTTTGTTTTTTGGATATGTTTTTTTGAGACATGTTAAAAAAAGAAGTGAATATAACTTATATCGAGCGAGAGTCAACACTCAACACGCAACAAAATTAATAATTATTGATTAGTAATTACAGTATTACAATAAATAATAATGTGTCGATATCACCGAACGATTCCTTATCAATTTCATCATTGAATAATCATAATCAAATAAATGTGTGTAACTTGTTCCATAGTGAACAGTAACTGTACTCATATATGATCTAAGGTAACCTTTTATTAGTATAATTTTACTGCCGACAACTTTATCCGTCAGATAGCTATCTGGAGAATAAATTTACATTGAAAAACCGGAATCACTTTATTTGAGAGATTATCCGCCAGGCAAATTTATCCGACGGATACGTATCTAGCGAATAATAGTAATATATCGTAAATGCCATAATGCTTTTACTGCATTTTTATAGTATCTTGATTGTTATAATGTTTTTGATATTTTTTCCTTCTTTTGGAAACGTATTTAATTCACAAACAACAATCCAAGTGGAGTAATAATTCTTATAACTAATACTACTACAATTAGAATTAGGCACAATATATTTTTTATTTTTTGGTAAAATGAAAAGTAAAAAAATAAGATTATCTAGGTTAAAAAAAACACAGAGGAAACATTTCATCAATTGAAAATTGGCAAATAAATCGTATCAAAAAGACAGTAAGTGGTACATTAGCAACTTTTATTTTTGTTTTTTATTAGCATTATTTAGATTATGAATTTAAAAAATCATTATCATGATTCTAATTTATTTATTTTATAGTCGTGTTTTTATATTGTTATTTTGTAGGAAAACAGAGAAAATCTAACGTCTGTACTACATGAACGTCAAAATAATGGCGACAAGGTAAAACAATTTAATGAATTGTACGTAAATATATTTTTATTTTATTTTTCATTTTACAAACATTTAGTATTATATTACGTGCCACCGGTTCGATTTCAAATTATGCAGTCGAAGATATGTTTGTTATTAATTAATTAGACATGAGGCTTTAACTTTTAATACATTTAATACGTTTATTTTACAATTCAAAATGTTTAACAAAAATCTGATACTAAGTGACGTTAAATTGCTTTCAGTTCCGTGACTAAAACTCATCTGATTTGTGGTCGTTTCCTTCATCCTTTTAGATTGCTCCGTTGAAATCATAGGACTTGTTGTTTTGGCATTATCCAGCGATAGGCCTTGTTCCTATTCTAGAAGTATAGATTAACATTTGACACATCTTCCAATTACTACTCGGCTCACGACCAATTAGTTAAATATAACAATATGCTGTCTTACGCAATACGTATAATATTGTGTTACATGATCACACACGTTTTCTATTTATACATGATAGCCCATAACAATTACGAACGACTAATTTTAACCGTTCGTCATAATCAGATTATAAAAGCATAATTAACATTAAATTGATCGTTTAAACTAGGTATGAGATACAATTTAAGTCTATTGCTAAAAATGAATTTAAGAAAGAATTCGGATATGAAGTAGCTCCAGCAGGATTGTTTGTTGACCTTCATTTTCCATTTTTAGCAGCAACGCCAGATAGTCTTATTGAGGATGATTCAATTATAGAAATTAAATGCCCATTTTCTATAAAAGATTTAACTCCTCTTGATGTATACAAAGAGAAAAAGTTGAACATAATGTATGTACAATCGGGTAACCTATTTTTAAAAAAACTCATTCTTATTAATACCAGACACAAGGGCATTTGCATTTAACAGACCGAAAATATTGCTACTTTATTGTATGAACACCAAAAGGTATACATTTTATTATACGTACTATTTATTATTATTTCATTATTGTAATTTTTTTTGTAAATTATTTTTACAAGAAATTTGTGTGGATAAAATTGAAAGCGATGATAAATTCATCGTAATATAAATGTAATAAAATGGAGCTGATTTTATCAGAATTCTATATTGAATACATGGTGCCAGAAATAGTGAATCCTCGAAAAATAAAAAAAATAAATGCAAAACATGCAACATACCAATGATTTGTTTATTTTAAAGTTATAAATTTTTGAAAAAAAGAAAATGTGTTTAGTAGATATAATCTCACCAAAACATACATGTAAAATGATAGCCAAGTTCAATACTATAATATATGCCCTGGTTGTTGACTTCAACGACAAAAGAAGTGAGATCTAAATGGATGCCAAGTTCAATGTTCAGTCCAGAAATTTATTTATAACAACATAATATATAATTTCTTCTTATCACTTAGAATAATGTTTTGAAGCCTAAGGTCTGACTTGGCTAGTTTCCATATACGAATTATACAACTAAAACAGTCATGCAAGAGCACTATGTTCCATACCTAGTTTCTACCAGCAAGTCAAATTTTTAGAAGGATAAAAAAGAACTCACAACTTTAGAATTTGCGAAGGCTATAACATAATTCGTATATAATAATACATAACTCTACAATAGAGCTCTCTTGTGCCTTGATTTGACTTGGATCTATATTGATAAGATGTACTCCATCTAAGGTTTTAACTCTGGAGAGTCCAACGTAAGCCTGCCCTTTAGTAAAAACAGAGGAGCCTATATCGAGAAGAGCTCTGTCAAAGCTAAGGCCTTGTGATTTATGGATAGTAATAGCATATGCTAAGCAAATAGGGAATTGTTCTCTGTGTACATATACATTACTCAATATCTGAAACTTGGTCTTGACTCGTTCTAGTTCGTAAATTAAATTATGTTTAAATTGTATTGTAATTTTACGTGCTCTATTGCTGTTGTCGACGTCCCAATGTATATTTTCTATGTTTCCAATGGATCCGTTTACCAGTCCCTTACTGACATCTATGTTTCTTCGCAACATTACACGTGCACCTATTTTTATTGTGATGACATTTTCTAAGCCAGCAGTGAGCGATGAATCATCCTCGTTTTTTTTGAGAACTTCATTTGCTCGTTTTTTTAAATACCGTGGACAGTCTATTTCATCTATCGAATTTAATTTAATTTCTGGTTGCTCCATACTTGTCAACATTGCAGTATTAAATTGGTTACACATATTTTTAGTGGGAAATAAACATACTGTATCATCGGACAGCAGTCTAAAATAGGATATGATTTCTTTAAGCCGGTCGTTTTGATTTTTAGCAGTTAATTTAAGAAGTCTATTAAATAAAGTGCAACTGTCTTGATTTGTTACTACACCCATTCTAAAACGATTCAACATTTCACCGAAAAGTTGGTCGTTTTTTTGCCTCATGTTGACAGTCAATTCCTCATAACAAAATAGTGTTTTCCATAAATTTGGAGCACTAAGGGATCCTAAACATTTAAGAACATCACACGACTTCAAATTTTCGAATGGTGACAGTTGTCTCACAGGAAGCAGTTGGAGCAGATCACCAAACAACACTATATGAATCTTTCCGAACCATCCGTCGTCAACGTCACTGGTATCATATATTTCTGTTAAGCGAAGATGGATGTACATTAATGTTATATTGGAAATCATGGACACTTCATCAATTATTAAAAGTACTACATCTTTTAAGTCACATCTTAAAACTTTTAGTACTTGGTCTGATAAGGAAGTGTACTTGGGACAATTTTTGCTCATACAAATGATAGAGGTTACCGCCCGCTCAGCGCTCGCACGTTCCCGTCAAGGTTTATCGCACCGCTCCCCTCCCCGCTACACCGCGGCAAATATTGTATTCATTTCGACGATTCATTATTTTGACCGATGATGAGAATATTATCTATGTTTTGGAATATAAATAATATTTATATATATTATTATATGATTATCTAACAATTTTATTTGGTTTTTTTCTTTTTGTTTATTCTTAGTACTGATAATTTTTCCCCCGAAACGACTTCGTTTCGATCGTCGATAAAAATAATTTACCATGACGTATTCTATAAATACAGTTTATTACTATATACTATAATTCAGTTACTAACATTAATAATAGGTATTTATTATAAAATATTTTCTGTTGTATACAGAGTATAATACTATAATATATGTAAAGTTAATATAAAATTATTTTATCTTCTTTTGAGTATATTATTTTTAATTATCATAATTTTATTTACTATAATTTCTACTGATGGGTGGATAATTCATAATTGTAAGATTAATTATTTAATTATGGCGCGCGGGTCGCCAATATCGACACGACGACACATATCGACTGGACGTACTTTTGGAGCCGCGATTTAAAAATTTTCAAGTTTCTGATTTTTTCCTTTATATTAACCTAACTACCTATTTGTATGCCAAATTTGAACTTTCTAGGTCATCTGGAAGTGGGTTAGAATTTTGATCTATAGGTGAGTCAGTGATAAAAATGACGATTTTGGGACGTTAATATCTAAATAACGGTTTGAGATATGTTTATGAAATTTGGAAAACATATGTCTAGTAAGTCTCAATATATGAGCCAAATTTGACATGTTTATGTGGAATAGTTTTTGAGTTATGAAGGGGTCAAAAGTGACTCCAAATGGTTCGTGTAATATTACACACGGTGCTGCTCGCCAATTCTGTTAGCTAGAACATGGCTTGACACGCTACCGCGTGTCTAGATAGTCGGGTAGTCGTCTAACAACTATTAAATTATTTTAAATTGTATGTATAACGAAATCATGTGGGTCAACGCGATTACAGAATACAGATAAACATTATTCTAAAATTATTTTATTTATAAACAATATCGCGATAACGATTTCGATTTTTTTTGGTGACGTTCGGTGTAGATGTGTTTATTCGCCGCCGCCAGTGGCGTATTTGAGGGGAGCGATGGAGGCAATCGCCTTCCCCGAGAATTTTTAGACCAAGACAAATTTAATATAAGTAATGGGTATTTTACTAAGAAACAAAAATTATGATTTAATTTATAGTATTACTACATTTGAAAACTTTTTAAATTTTACACTAATTTAAATAACGCAAAACGTTAAATTTTTCATAAAGTTTTAACTGTCAATAATGATAAACGGAACATTTTTTAAACGTTGAAATTTGTATAACGTTTAAACGCTTAAATTGAATAACGTTTAAATTATTTATAGCGTTAAACGCTCAATTGCTTATAACGTTTATTTGTCCCATAACAACAAATAATATACCTATATTATTTTGATTGAAGACCCAGTCCATACTTAGTGAAAAATTAGAAAAAACACTAGCAAAACTTTCAAAACACGGAGAGGTGTTAAAAAAGAATTACACAAAAGACCATTCAAAGTGGATCTGGCATTAGATTAAAAAAAAAAAAAAAAAACCACAAATATTAAGGATTCACCTGGTATAAATATTACCAAAAATTTTATTTGTAAATTTTGAGCCTGAATTAAAGGAAAAATTTGAGTCGCCCCCCTCTAGAAGTAAGTCTAAATACACCCCTGGCCGCCGCGTCTGTATATAATAGAAAAACCACGTTTTATTTGTTGTAATTGTAGTAGACCGTACTATTTATAACACAATTATAATTATATTATAATTTGTTATTTGCTATTTCTAAAACATATAAACAGAAATTAAGAAAAAGGAGAAATTATTTAGAAAAAAACCACAAATACAATGTGTATGCTGAATTTATTAATGCTCTTATAAATATTTACGATCCACTAAAAAATGCGTTATCTCATAAATTACAGATAGAATTAGTTTGTTCTGCGAGCCATAATAAGAGAATCCAAATAACTCAAAACTATATTATTCAACTTAACGTACCTAATGAAAATGAAACGGTAAATTTTAATACAACGTTAGATTATTTATTCAGAGAAGTGTTAATAGAAGGCGTTAATTGCAGTGCCTGTAATACTATTACAGATCATACGCAGATAACAAATATAGTAAATACTAATGAATATTTGTACTTTCAAATACAACTTTGGAATAATGTCAGTACCAAAATATCAAACCTAACCATTAATGCATTACCCATTACAATAATTAAAGTTCATGGTAAATTGTATGGTTTAAAATCTGTCATCTGTCATCATGATCTATCTATGAATGAAGCCCATTATACAAGCATAAGTTCACATCAAAATAAATGGCTACGATGTAATGACAATGCAATATATTTTGAACGATGGCCTCAAAGGGGTAAAATGTATATATTATAATACTGAAAAAAAAAATTGAATATGATTTTTAAAATATATATATATATAGTATATATAAAATATATATTAAATAAACAAACATCATAATAAAATAAATTAATATAAACATAAAAAATTTCATATTACATGTCAGTACATAAAAATATGTTATAAAAAACTACTGATATCCCAATAAAAACACTTCGTCGAACTCCGTGTAAAAAATTGCTAAGTAAAAAAAACTAGTCATCTATAAGACTTCAGCACTATAAAGATGTGATATCATGAATAAATGCTAAATAAATTAAATTTTCAATAAATTTATTCTATCTCAATCATTTATTTACTTGGCGAGAATTTATTTATTTCGACAAATAAACATGTCTGTTTATAACTGGGCTATTTAACAAATTTCCATGATAAATGTTACTAAATTTGTTTTATAAAAAGTTTTAATTATTAATTTATAAAGAAAATAAATTCTCGCAAAGTAAGTAAATGATTGAGATAGAATAAATGTATTGAAAATTTAATTTACTTAGCATTTATTCATAATATCACATCTTTATAATGCTGAAGTCTTATAGATGACTAGTTTTTTTTACTTAGCAATTTTTTACACGGAGTTCGACGAAGTGTTTTTGTTGGGATAATACTATTTATAATCGATGATTATAATCAAAAAGACGAACAACATTATATGTCGAATAGTAACGCACGAACAGTAAAGCGATTGTGTTGATTATAGCCACTACGTATCGTCTTTTTTTCTTTAAATTTTGTGAGTTGGTGCATTATTTTTTTTTTTTTTTTTAAATGCGAAAGAGGAAATGTCCGTTCACTGTATCTTTACAGTCTGAATTTATTTTCCTAAAAAATTGTGAAGAAATTGGAAAAGTGTTTTGTACGGTGTGCAAGGGAATATTTTCAATCGAACATGGAGGACGCTCTGATATCAAACAGCATATGGAAAAGAAAAAACATACGTCGGCCTTATTTAGTGTTTCAGAAAGTGACAAGGTAACGTCATATTTTATTAAACAAGGACCAGCTGGCTTAACTAGTGAAGGGTTAAAAATTGCAGCAGAAGAGGGAATGTTTGCATTTCACACTATAGTACACAACCATTCTTTTAGGTCAATGTATTGTACTACTACTTTAATAAAAAAGTTACATGAAAAAAAGTTTTCTTGTGCGCGTACCAAGTGTGAATCAATTATTCTAAATGTATTGGCTCCTTTTGCAATGGATCAAATAATATACGAACTAAAGGCTGTTAATTTTGCGACAATTATGATTGACCCTTCAAATCATAATTATTTAAAAATTGTTCCCATTCTTATTCGATATTTTGATCCTAAAACGGGAGTTCAAATAAAAGTGTTAGAATTCACAAATTTGAAAGGAGAAACTTCAGATATTTTGTCATCTTATATAATGGAAATTTTAACAAAACATAAATTATCTCACAAAATTATTGCATTTACCGGTGACAACTGTAATACCAATTTTGGAGGTGCTGCAAGGAGGGGAACAAAAAATGTATTTACGATTTTGAACAATAATTTGAAGACTAACATTTCTGGAATTGGTTGTGCAGCTCATATTCTGCACAACGCTATGCAAACTAGTACAGATATCTTACCTATTGATATCGAATGTATCGTTAATAAAATATTTCAATACTTTTATATTTATACTGTGAGAGTGGAAAAAATTAAAAGAATTTTGTGATTTCACAAATACACAATACAAAAATGTACTTAGAATAGTAAAGACAAGATGGTTATCCTTACAATCAGCAGTCTCCAGAATTATTGAAATATATACAGCTTTAAAATTGTACTTTGACACTCAGGATAAATTCCCAACCATTTTAAAATCATTTTTTAGTGACCCCGTTGCAATAATATGGTTTCATTTTATACAAAGTCAATTAAAAGTCGTTGTGACACTATAAAAAGAATAGAAGGGGACAACATATCTGCATGCGAAGTATCAGAAGAATTAGAAATATTATGTGGAAAAATAAAAAATAGAAAAACACAAAACTTTTTAACTTCCAGTTTAAATTCGATGCTTTTAGAACTAGAAACAAAAAATAAATACACAAAAAACCAATTTATAGAGCAAACTAACGAGTTTTATGACACATTTTTGTTGTACATTGAAAAGTGGGGAAATTCATTTGAAGAACTAAAAATATTTCGTTGGACTCAACTGATAAATTGTCCAACATGGAATGATATTTAAAAAAGTTTAAAATTTATTTTGAAAAATAATAAAAAACAAACCGGTTGGAATGTAGATGAAGATATTCTTTTTGATGAATATAATCATGTAGTTAATGTTATAAATGAAAATTTAAAAGAATGGCAGAATAATTATGTTCGTGTTGAAGAAAGATAGTGTGCTATCTATACAATTTTAAATAGTAAAAGAATATCAATAAATAATTTTTGGAAGATTGTAGAATATTCTCTAGCAATGCCTGGAACAAATGCTGCAATTGAAAGAGTATTTTCTATCACTAATGTGTTATGGACGGACGAAAAAAATCAAATCTGTATATATAAAACAGTAAGCTGATTGACTGCTATCAACGCACAGCTCAAACCATTGGACGGATCTGGCTGAAATTTGGCATACAGATAGCTATTATGATGTAGACGTGCGCTAAGAAAGGATTTTTCGAAATTTTGAATTTAAAGAGTTGAAATCGGTAAAAGAAAATTTTTACATGTAATTTGTATTATTAAACCTAACTAACCTAACCTAAAGGTCCTAAGTCGGCGTTAACGCGTTGTCGGCGGATAGAGCCGTGGTAGCACCGTTGTCGTTTATTGTGATTATCCTACATATTATATTTATAGCTGCGCGTGACGAAAACGTTTGCTTATATAAAATGTATGCCCACGTGCTGTGTTGTGTGAACGTGCTATACTCACTTCAAAATATGACCAAGCGGCGGCTATCAATGATACACTGCTGATGTCTTTTGAAGGGGAAGAAAAAGTATATACTTCTATAGATACGGTGGTCAACATGGACGATGCAACTAATTATCCGGTTGAATTTTTAAATTCATTGAAACCACCGGGCATGCCATATCATAGGCTGCGTGTAGGCACACCTATTATGTTGTTGCGAAATTTGAAACCGCCTAAACTGTGCAATGGGACCAGGCTTAAAGTCAACGCTTTACATCGCAATATAGTAGAAGCCACAATTTTAACAGGATGTGCAAAAGGGGAAACTGTGTTTGTACCACGAATCCCTTTAATTCCGAATGATCATCCGTTCGAATTTAAACGATTACAGTTTCCCCTGAAAGTCTGTTTTGCAATGACTATAAACAAGTCTCAAGGCCAAACTCTTAAATTTGCAGTAATAGATTTGCGAGAAAACTGTTTTTCACATGGGCAGTTCTACGTAGCTTGCTCACGCGTAAGCTCACCCAGTAGCTTGGTGATTTTGTCGCCTACTAATAGATCAGTGAAGAACATTGTCTACAAAGAAGTTTTGTAGATAACATATTGAAAAACTATTAGTAAAACATTTATTTTGAACCTTTAGTGCTAAAATTTATCGTGAACAAAGCTTCTGCCGCCAAAAGCTATAACTTATCGAATAGGTTAAGATAATAATCATTATCTTAAAAACTAAATTAATATGTATAAAATATTATTTCAAAAATCTTAATTAATTTAAATTTCAGTAGATTTAACAAAATTTAATCTTGGCAGGTTACATACATTTATATACTTAAACCCGGCAACGACGGGTAATTCAGCTAGTCAATTATAATTCTGAAAAATCATTTCAAAAAATATTCGTGTAATGATTTTTATGATTTTTTGTTAAAACAACCAAAATTATTAAACGCAATCAGTTCATCGCAAAAGTACAGTAACGGCACTGCAATAGATAATGAAGGACATGATGAGCAATCGACATCAACCCAATAAAAGTAAACAAGTTTTTTTTATCAAAATATTAAACAAGGTAGTTAAAAAATATTTTAACTGTAACTATAAAATATAAAAATTTTTAAAAAAATGTGTATGATTTTATTGAGTATTTAAACCAAAAAATGCTTGTCCTTTTTTTTTTTGTAAAACTGGTCACCCTATTGTACAACCTCAGTAATGATCATTTACTATGCAAATATTAAAATAATTGCCTATACTGAACCTCTTAAAAACCGACCGTTGGCAATCCCCTTAAGTCTACGGGCTCATGAAACAATCTCTTATTCTAAGAAAACGTGGACGCTTTTGTCAATACTACGATAATAATTATCGATAGGTGACAGCTGCTGGCTGAAATAATATGTTTTCTGATTTTTGCTAAACAAAATATTAAAACTAAAGTGGTTGGAAGCAGTGTATTTATATCATGATTTAATTCTAAAATCCTGACAAAACTACGCCTACTTAGAATGATTGGATTTAAATTTTATAAAAATATTTTAGTGTATTGACATAAATAATAATGTAATTTAGACACTGCGACGTTTCTCTATTCTGTGTCAATTTGTCGTATTGATTAACCCATTTTTCATGGTCGTCAACCTATGACCGAGATTTTGAATTCGGAGTATATAGGATTTTATATATTATTTATTGTATATATATTTTTTTTTTTTGAAACACAAGAAATTTTGTAAATATAATTAAAAAACAATTATTGTAAGTTGTGTTCAGCTCTAAATAATAATAATAATAATAATAAAGGGTGCCTTCACGACAGGACGGTAGGCAATTACATCGACTACACTACCAATCCTAAAAAATCGAACAATTGAATGCTGGTAAATTGAATGTATAATAATAATTGTTTGCAACAGTAAACTTGTAAAATTGAACAAATTGGGTAAATACATAAATCTCATGTGAATAATACAAATAGTTGACCTAAGTCGGTTCAATAATAATATAAATAAAAATACAATAATACAACAATGTAATGCTGGCCTTACAATGGCGCAACAACAATAATAAATATAATAATAATTGATGATGTGGCCCACACGGCACACACCAGCAAAAAAATATAAATATAAATTAAACGTAATAAATAAATGTATAATTAGGCCTAAACGGCACACAAATGACTAATGGATAATAAAAAAAAAATGGCAATGTATGAATAATTCACAGTAGCCTAGTTGACTCAACAATAATTAATACATATAATTTGGCCTAAAACGGCATACAACTGAATGATAGTGAATGTATACTAATAATTGCCTTTGAGGACTATAAATGACTATAATACTACATAACATGGCCCGAACGGCGCACAAATGAATAATAACAAACACAATAATAATGAATATAATAATAATGTATAGTGACCTAAAAGGCACACAAACTAAATATAATAATGTATACTAAATAATTGCCTTTGAACGCTAGGCCCGTCGGCCTTTACACACTTATAACAAACACAATCAGTGGCATAACTATGGGGTAGCGAGGGGTAGCGGTCGCGACCCCCAAAATTATTATGGGGTCGCAAGAGTATCATTTTGCTACCCCAAAAATATTTATATAATTTGATAAAAAAAAATCGTCGTATTATAGATCGTAGCATATCATGAAAAAAAAATTAGTTGTGAATTTTCATGTCACCGAGTAACTGATAAGTGATAACAGTATAACTACAAAATATAACCCAGACAGTCGTGGTAGCACTGGTAGCACAGAACAATTGATAACATAAACATTTTTATGTTATCTCATTATCTGTATTCTATGATAATTCAAAAACATTACAATAACGACTAACGAGAAAATGGTTTATCCTTGTTAACATTTTAAATTGTTATTTGTTTTATCATTTTGAATTTTGATTTGTTATTATTATTTGTAGTACTATTGTAGCGTGGACTGTGGTTTTACTTCAAAACTTTTTATCATTTTTATTGACTTGACAAATCTTAGTATTTCGTCAAAATGAGCTTATTAAAATGGCTTTCTGGCTCTAAAACAAAAGCCAACAGGGATCACAGTACTGAAAGTATAGGTAGTTCATACAATCCACGAACACGATTTAAATCGGAATTAACGCAATCATCACTACTACCAGATTCAGATCCAGGTAAATAGTTATAAAAATTGTCTTTTGTGTGATGTTATTTTTAAAATATAAACTGTGTTGTAGTTTTGATTAGATATAAACTATAAAATAATGTAAAAATTAAATTAACTTTATTAACTTACTAATTGAATAAAATGATAAAATGTTCTAGATTCTCAACAATAATTAATTTCAACACATATTTATTTTAGAATGTGCTTCATATTCTGGATGTAGTGTCATACATGAAGACGATCCAGCATCAGACATTAAAGGAGCTTATGAAAAAGTACTACAAAATAAAGGACCATTTCAACCAAAGGATATCAAGTTTGAAGTGAACAAAAACCGATCATTTCTTATCTTTTGGTATGATTTATATCCATGGTTAGAGTACAGTCCTACTAGTCAGGCAGCTTACTGTTATTCATGTAGAGCGTTTCCAAGTCTAACTAACAAAGCATGTAGGGGTCAACATACTGAACCAGCATTTGTTAATGTTGGCTTTAAAAACTGGCCTAAAGCTATAAGAAGTTTTAATAAACATCAATCTAGTATTCCTCACAAAGAATCTACAGTAAAAATAGCTGGACTGAAATCAACTGTAATTGTTGGTGATGTGACCGTCCAAGTAAACAAACAATATAGCATAGAAGTTGAAAATAATAGATTATATTTTAATTGCCTGTTAGATAGCTTATTGTACTGTTGTCGACAAGGTATTGCCGTTAGGGGTCATCGGGAAGATGATAACTCTTTAAATAAAGGTAATTTCTTGGAACTTATGGAATTAAGAGCTAAAGATAATAGTATTATTAAACAATACTTTATTGAAAAAGAAAAAAGTTTTAGATATGTAAATCCTTCATACTTAAATATGTTTATAGAGTACATGGGGAAAGATGTTTTACAATCAATAATTAGAGATATCCAGGATTCCAAATTTTTTAGTATTATGGTTGATGAAACACAGGACTTGGCTAAGCATGAGCAAGTGGCCATATGTATTCGATATGTTTCAAAACTATTTATTACCCATGAAGTTTTCTTGGGCTTTTATCGCACCGATAAAACTGATGGTGAAACGTTAGTAAATCTTATAAAACAGTTTTTACAAACAAATAATTTAAGTATTCAAAACATCAGAGGACAGTGTTACGATGGTGCTGCATCTATGCGAGGTTCATATACAGGTGTCCAAGCTAGAATCCGATCGGAAAATAAATTTGCTATTTATGTGCATTGTTATGCACATATTTTAAATTTATGTCTTGTAGACCTTTCGAAACAATCATCATTTGTAAGAAATACATTTGGAACTCTACAAACTTTATATTCATTTATGGGTGCATCATCAAAGAGAAATAGTGTTTTTGAAAAAATATTATCAACAAGTTCAATAAATGTGTCCCAAAAAACTAAATTAAAATCTTTAAGCGATACAAGGTGGAACTGTCGCATTGAAGCAATCAATTCAGTTATTAACACTTTGCCTGTTATTGTTCAAACACTACAAAATATTTCTGATAATGATGTGAATTATGGATCAGAAGCAAACAATTTATTGAATTGCATACTTCATTTTGAATTTATATTTTGTTTGTTTTTATTAAAAACTGTGCTTGAACAAACAAACATACTCTCTAAATATTTACAGTCACCATCAATAAACTATGCACTTGTAAAGGAAATGTCAATCAAAACTTACGACTCATTGCAAGACTTACGTTCAGATGAAAGTTTCATTAAATGTTGGGAATCCTCGCAAGATTTGGTAAAAAATAATGGATTTCTACCACCAAAACTTCCTCGTAATAGAAAGATTTCCTATAAAAAACTTGGAGGTGGTCATGTTTTTCCAGAGTTTCATGATGAAAAGTCCTATTACCGGATCTCCATTTATTTTCCAGTTTTGGATATTGTCATGAAAGAAATCAAAGATAGATTCAATGAAAATGATCTTTCCATATTAAACTCACTGATGGAAACACTGACAAATGAAAGCCCTAGTCAATCTTCAATTCAAGAAGTGTGCAAATTCTATGGACCAAATGAAGATGACTTAACTGCTGAATTAAAAATATTTAACAAAATGTTTAAAGGCTATGGCAAAGAAAATAACATTGAAAATAGAATATTATATTTGAAAAACAAAGATATTCAAAATGGTTTCCCAATTATAGTTGAATTGTTACAAATTTTTTTAACCATTCCCACTAGCAGCGTATCATGTGAAAGGTCATTTTCTTGTTTAAAAAAACTAAAAAACTACTTGAGAACTACTATCGGTCAAGAACGTCTTTCTAACATGGCTATATTATACATCGAAAGACAGAGAAGTAAACAACGAACAAATAATCAATCTTTTTAATGAGAACAAAAACCGAAAAATAGATTTAGAATAGTAATTATTTTTAGTAATTTTTGTATTGTAAGAGTTCCTATAATATTTATTTAAACTAGTCACTAAAACTGAAATGTGATATGATAAATACAATTTATAAATAAATTATAATGTAATTTTTTTTATTAGCCCACAAGCCCCCTATTTGTGCTAATGGAAAAAGGTTAAAAATGTATAAAAGTGTTCGCTACCCCAAAAATTTGCTGCTAGTTACGCCACTGAACACAATGGTCGACCAATGCTCGTCGACGTCCGCCGCATAGTACTAATACGATATGTCGACGACGCGTCGACGTCAGCACTCAACGTGTTAATATGTGACTATGTTGAATGGCTGATTGCATCCAGCGACCGCACCAACCCTGTGACTAGACAAATGCCTTAGACGGCACACCGCAGTGTATATGTGAATAAAAATAGTCACAGAATTGGTACGTGCGACCACCCAAGCACAGTCACCACGAAGATAGGTCTACAGCGCAGACGAAGACAATACGAATGAAAACCACGTTAATCACAACTGGCTGTTGGCAAGTGACCACCCTAGAACACGGTACTATAAATGATAGGCAATGACAATTGCGCAGAACGCCACTTACCAGACAGCCGACACGAAACACAAGAAAACACTGAAAAACGTGGTTTGAACAAAATGGCTGCAGACCGATACACGAAACACGAAGACACTTCAGGTGATGTGTACACCACGACGCAAAAAGGAAGACCGCGAGTTGGTGCCGACGACATTTACCACGAAGGCTTTGGCCGCCGGACACCACAACGAAGATAAATGTCTCAGTGCCACCACACTAAACCAAAAATACACGAGAACTTACGAAACTTTGGCACTGAGAACATGACTTTTACTTTTAAAAAAACATAACCGACAATATGAAAACGTGGAAATAACGGGCATTTTCGTACGACGATAATAATACGATTACGTAACCCGACCGGTCGCGCACGGAGGCTTATCACCGCCACCGACGACGGCCGGGGATACGCAACGCACCGCTATACATCGCACGAAAATGATAACATAAATGACAATTAAACACAACAATTATAATGAGAGTATTAGGATTATTAGTATAATTTATTAATGGAAAAAGAAAGCTCAGACGGACGTAAAACTCCATCCAAGAAAAACAAACTGTAAAGATATAATATGATACAAAAACTCATAAATAGGGCTCGGAACTTAATGCACTTAAAAAATCCTTATATATATAAAAGAACAGA